GCTGGCTAGATTCATGTGGACCCTGGTGGCAAGGGTGTGTAGATAGATTTAGAAAAGGCACTTTTAGGTCTCCATCTACCCTTGCTTCAACCTAAGCCAAAAGACCTGAAAATTAATAGGTGTCTCTTTCTTCTATATTCTTATTTCTCTCTCTCTCTCTCTTTTCTATATTCTTATTTCTCTCTCTGCCCCGATCCTTCTGAGTGAGGATGCTTTGAGTTGAGTATTGCTCCAGTCAAATGCATCCAGTTAATACTGTCAACCAAGAAGGAAGTGAATGGCAAAGGAACTCTTCTCAGAGAATGTGGGGGTAACTGTGGATATTGGGTACCCACTTGCTGCTTGAGAACTGAATTATAAATAAATGTGCTAGGTAGTAGAGTTTTGTTTTCCCCGATAGAAAAATATTCACGACATGGAAACAAAATTTCATTCAGTGTGTTTTCATTCTGCGATGGCACCATTTTTATTCTTAATTCTCCGAGTTGCTGATTTTTAAAGGGAAAATACACATGCGAAGATAGACTATTGTGTAAAACTCACAAGAAGCAGTGTGAACCCAACAGTCTGGAGACAGAGGTTGTTGTAAGATTAGCAATGGAAATAGCTTCTTTTTCTGAAGGTTAAAAATAATGTATTTACTAGAAGTTATTTGCATTGGCCACTTAGAGGCTTCCCGGGATGCCTTAGTTAAGAAAGCTGTGAAATCCACAGGAAGCACTTCCAGGACCTTTTGCTGCTCTGCGATTTCCTAGGAAGACTCCGTGCTGGTTGACAGACAGGAAAATGGAGGTGTCTTACTGCTGGGATTTCTCAGATGGCGGCAGAGAGAGGCGAAAGGCAAGGCTTGTGTGTCCTGAGGGTTGCTGTGTCCTGCAGCCTCGTCCTGGAGGTTGCAAGAGAGCTTCCTGGTGAGCTTCCCAAACAGAGCACCTGTTCCCAAGATGTGGCGTGAAAGGTGCAGGGTGCCCTGAGGGGTGCTCACAGCAGCTGTATCAGAGCATCCTCCAAGAACCCCTCCTCTGTGAAACGGAACATGAAAACAGAGAGGAGCCTGGCAGACAAAATAAATTCGTCAATCTAAATAAACAATATTTCTGGGAGAAAAATCCTTGCAGTTTTGTGAACTGAAATCATATTGTTTGTACCTCTTCTGATTTTTCCTCTTCGCAACCTTACTTATCCTACATTCATTTTTCTCTAAGCTTCCTGCACCTTTCATGTGACCTCATGGGATGCTGAATAATTTTAGATGTTTCCCCTCAAATTTCTGCTCTTGTTTTTTTTAGTCCGCATGCTAAAATTCTTTGATGGTTTATTACTCGGATAACTTTAATTTTACAAAAAGCATCTTTGGAAAAGTGACTAGTAGAGTATTATGAGTTTAAAAATACACACACACACACACACACACACACACACATATATATATATATTTTTTTTTTTTTTTTTCTCTATGTGTCCAAGTTTTCTGACAGTCCCGAGGAGTGTGCATCTCAGTGATTACATCTCAAAGAATGGAGGAATAAATGGTTGAGAAAAATGCAAGTATTTCCGGGGACATAAACCGCTCTGTGTAGGAGATGCTTTGGTTCCTTGCTTATTGGATTTGGGTTTGTGATTTGGCAAGGTTGGGAAAGTTGCCTGAACCGTAGATATTAGTTGTCTGTCTCATTCTAGAACATTCAATGTCCCCGAAGCTGCATCGACAACTTCTTCAGCTTTCGGCACACTCACTGCCTCAGCACGTTGGGAGGGGGACATGTGGCTCCCTGAGGGTATGGAGGGAGTTACGAAATTAAGCTTTGCCTTTGGGACTATGCCTGTAGATGTGCTAAATTCTTTAGGCAGTTGAAACAACTTGTGCCCACAGCAACAAAGAAGATGCCGCCAAAAGGGACTGGGAGGTTGGGGTCCTGGAATGGTGGGTCCTCACCTCTCCATGGCTTATCTCATGAGGGAGCCTGCATGCTGCCCTTATCCAGGAGAACCCCATGCTGACCTCTGACTCAAGAGTCTGGAAGGCTGGCTGGGTGGGAGGGCAGGGATGCTGCTCAGAGCTCTGTGCAAGTGGCCACAGGGAAGTCCCCTAGCAGGTTGGGTGACAAGTTTTGCCGAGAGCTCCTGGGCCAGGAGTACAAAGATTTTGGATTCTTGGTTCTGGCCTTAGTTCTTAGTGGCTATGTGGCTCTGATTTGATCAGTAAACTTTAGTGTATTTAACAGTCGGAGTAAAATGACAAAATCGGACGTGTGCTTGTAACTTTATGGTTCTCAAAACCTGACTTTATAGACCTTGTTAGCTGCCATTTACTGCACTGGTTCAGGGCCAGGCTTAACTCTCTGGATCTGACAAAAATATAATATAAAAATATTTAATTTGGAAGCATATATGTTCCCGTTCTTTTATTTCATGAGTATCCATAAAGATCAAAGAAGAATGATCAATTAATTCTTGCTGGAGTGATTTTTAAATCTTTTACTTCTTTTGCTATTTATAGTAGAATTCCCATTTGATTCTTTGGAAGGATGCTATATTTATCTGAAATCAAGAAAGGTGGTTTGCTAAAGAAACGTAAAATTAGCCCTGTTGTTAAAATTGATGTTGACTGCTGGATGTTTGGTGAAAAAGCATCCCTCCCAGGAGAAGCCATTGGGGAACTGAGGAGTTTGGGGTCACCGCCAATTTCAGAAGAGATGAAAAATCTTGAAATCAAGTGGGCAGAGGGAAATGTGGCAAATCTCAAGGAACCAGGCTGGTTTTAACAGAGAAAATTCAATTTTATCTGCTTTTTCCCAGCAAATTCCATTTGATATTTTACATTTTCTTGATAACTTAATAAAGAATCTCAGGAAAGAGTTGCAGAACTTTAGCTTAGTGAAAGAGAATTTGTCATTTGTGACATTTCTTCTCTAAATAGCATGGGAAGATCAATGTATTAGCTTGTAGTTCATGCATTACTAGCTCTAGCTGTTTCTATTCTGAAAAGAAACAGCCTGTGATGTGGCAAAACCTGGCACAGTGAGGAATTTGGCTCAGTCCCGAAACATTCTTTGAACTCTGCCAGAGAAGCAGAAAATAAAGCACAATCCCTGTCCTCAAGGAGCACCATTGTAGGAAGGAAGCCAACAAGAGACAGATACTTTAAAGTGATATGAAATGTGAAAAAAACTATAAACAGGAGAATGTCAGCTGTGCATTCCAAATATGCACTCAGGGCACTTCCTGAGTGTCACCTGAGCTGAGCCCCGCCTTCCCTCACCTGGGTTCAGCCTCCTGCCTGGGTCTCCCTGTCCCACCCTGTACCTGCAACCTGTTCCCACACAGCAGCCAGGACTGTCCTTTGGCACTGTAAGTCCCCTCATCCCGCTTCTCCACCCAGCACCCTCTCTGGCTCCCAGTTTTGCCAAATGCAGAAGACTCACAGCTCACACTCGCGAGCGTGTCACTCACACGCTCGGTCCAGCACAGCTGCACACTCACACCCACTGCCCTCTGACCACCCCTCCCATTGCTTTGACCTTCCCTCACTCCATTTGGCTTCCTTGATGTTCCAGGGACCCGTCAGGTATGTCCTTGGGGCTCTCACAGTGACTCTCCACGCGGAACACTCGTGCGTGGACAGCTGCTCTGAGTGTCACCGCCTCGGTGAAGCCCCACCCTGTCCACTCTGTTTAAAATTACAACTTGCGTCCATTCTTTTTATCCTGCTCTACGTTTTCTGTTTTGTTTTGTTTTTCTCAGTGCTTATCACCCCTCTGGCATACTATATGATTTATTATTTATTAACTTTGTTTAACATCTGTCTTCCTCCTCCACTGATACGTAAGCTCCAAGACAGCAGGGCCTTAGTTTTTGTTTAATTCTGTTCAATCTAGAATACAGTCTTGAACAGTCTAGAACAATGCCTGACATGCGACAAGTATCCCGTCATTATTGGTCGAATGAGTGAATGAAGGGATTAGGAGAAACCTGAGAGTTCTAGGGAGAACTGCAAGGAAGAAACCCTGGAGCTGGGTGTGGAAGGACATTCCAGATGGGATTTCATGAGCAAAGACAGAAATGCAGCTGAGCTCCCAAGAGCTCCTGGACTGGCAGAGTCCACCTAGCTGGGGGCTGTGGGAGGGCTGGTGGCAGGTCGATAAATTAATGAATAGGAAATATCTCAAGGGGATTCTTAGTAGGGTGAAGGAACACGCTGATCACTGCCTCAAGGACATGGCAAGCATGTTGGTGATTGAAATCTCAGACCTCAAGCAAGTAGCACCCAGAACGTGGGCATGCCGTGGTGGCAGGGCATCGGTAATGCGAATGGCGTTGGCTAATAAGATCTGGTTTTTATACAGTGCTCAACTGTTTGCAAAACATGGTCACATGCTTTTTAGGATGTAAGCTTCATAGAGTGAAGGGAGTCAGGCAAGTATTGTTAACATATTTGGATAAGCTTTTGAAAAAGTTACGTGCATCTTATATTGGAGGAAATGAAGCCTCAAAACCAGGTAAGTGACCTGCCTCTGAGGTCAGGAGTTAGAAAGTGAGGAAGTGAATTCCCACTGTCTTGTCTCACGGCCAACAGTTTCCCCAGTCTACCAGGCTGCTCTTGAATTCTGACGCTCTACTGAAGATAGGGTGCTCGTTTTTTGCAAGGGTTCCGTTTTCTGTTTCCCCATTCATTCAAAATAGCCATTTGTGTTGTTTTGTTTCACCTGTCACTTCTTCACCAGATTTTTTTTTTATCTTTTCTGCTTTTCCCAACCAACTTACCCTGAATAATTACTGGAAAAATGAATACAGGTGGTACGTGGGGTGTGTGTTCCTCTGCCGGTTCAGCATCATGCCTGTGCCTGATTCAGCTCCTGACTGCTCTTCGGGCCCTTGCTGACTTTCATTGGGTTCTTGGGTGGAAGGGAAGGGAAGGCTTGTCATCATCTCCATGTGCTGTCTTGAGACTAACTTGTTGCTCACTTTGGAAGTAAACCCAATCTTCTTAATTCCCCCAGATGTTAGTAGGCAGGAAGAGGCGGAGGGAGAACTCAGTGAAGGAGAGCACTGGTATGGAAACTCTTCCGAGACTCCGTCAGAAGCATCCTATGGAGAAGTCCAGGAGAACTATAAGCTGTCTCTGGAGGACCGGATCCAGGAGCAGTCCACTTCCCCCGACACCTCCTTGGGAAGTGCCACTCCCAGCAGCCACACGCTGGAGCTGGTGGCTCTCGATGGTGAGGTCCTGCGAGACTCACTACAGTGCCAAGACCACCTCTCCCCCGGAGTGTCTTCTTTGTGTGAAGATGACCCCCCAGGTTCCAATAAACCCCTGAGCAGCAACTTAAGGAGGCTGCTGGAGGCTGGTTCCCTCAAACTCGAAGCCACAGCCACGGCCAATGGCCGAGTGGAGTCCCCTGTGAACATTGGCTCGAACCTCTCCTTTTCCCCACCGTCCCATCATGCCCAGCAGCTCAGCGTTCTGGCCAGGAAGTTGGCTGAGAAGCAGGAGCAGAATGACCAATACACTCCAAGTAACCGTTTTATATGGAATCAAGGTAAGTGGTTGCCAAACTCAACCACCACCTGCGGCTTGTCCCCGGATTCAGCCATCCTCAAGCTGAAAGCCGCAGCCAATGCTGTTCTGCAGGACAAATCTCTCACCAGGACGGAGGAGACCATGCGATTTGAGTCCTTTTCCTCCCCCTTTAGCTCCCAGTCTGCCAGTTCGACCTTGGCAGCTTTGTCCAAGAAGGTCAGTGAGAGAAGTTTGACTCCTGGTCAGGAGCACCCACCTCCGGCCAGCTCTTTCCTGTCCCTGGCTTCTATGACCTCCTCAGCGGCCCTTCTGAAAGAGGTAGCAGCAAGGGCTGCGGGCAGCCTCCTGGCTGAGAAGTCATCCCTGTTGCCCGAGGACCCTCTACCGCCACCGCCTTCTGAGAAGAAGCCAGAAAAAGTAACCCCGCCACCTCCACCGCCACCTCCACCACCCCCGCCGCCAGCGCCACAGTCCTTGGAATTATTGTTACTCCCCGTTCCCAAGGGAAGAGTTTCCAAACCCTCCAGTTCAGGTATGGAATCTTTTCTTTTCTTTCCGTCATTGGGTAAGTCTTTGACTCTCAGCTGCGGGTCTGAGTTGGGGAAGGAATAAAAAAAAAAAAAAGCAGGAGCACAACAAATACTTTAAGTAAGCAGCGTAGTAAGTCTTTCATGTGTGTGTTACACAAAGACTTCACAAATAGCTTCATTTTTGAGAGATAATGAATAATCTTAGAGACATACAGTACTCCCTCCCTTTCATACAGTTTTTTTTTTTTTTTCCCTTACCAAGTTCAGGCTAGGTCCATACCAGATATATTTAATGGGGAAGATCAAAGCATCTTTGTCATGGAGTGCAAGGCATCACTGAACACAGAGGGAAAAAAACCACTGCTTTTGAAATAGTGGGCAAGGGAGCACCCTGCTGCCTCTGCACAAATGGACTTTTGTATAATCACTAACTACTCTGCCCTAATTTATCACAATATACACTTTTATGTTAGCATTTTTATTATTACCTTTTTTTGGGGGGTAGAATTTAAACCTTTTATTTATCCTATTCTATCATTTCTTGCCATTTAAGAACTCTTAAAAAAATAATGGTGAAACATAATCCAAGCATTTCTTGCAAATGCTTTATGTTGTTCAAATCCAATCTGAAGGAATGTGCATTGGAAAATCTGAATCGTGGGTTTTTCTAGGGGAGACCATCTTTCCGAAGGAGAGGTCACTGTCACATAGAGCCTTGGCATTCACAATTAATCATCCAAGGGAGAGATTTAGTCACTTGAGTTCTCACAATGGAAATGTCACTTTGTGTACTGGTATGCTTTAAAGCTGTGTGCATGATAAATACACGTTTCTGGGGATGGAAGTAGGGGTTTCGGATGTCTCCTAAGGGATATCCTGTCGGACCGGAACAGGAAGTGGGCTGCGTGTCTGCTCATTGGTATAAACACCACCACTGTGTGTGTCTGGCCGACTTTCAATTATTTGAGACAACATTGGTAGAGTGCTTGGGACGGCACATACTGGCCCGAATGATCACAACTAACATCAATTTGATGTATTCATGACAGACTTCCATTTAAATGGCTGAGTGAGCTGTATGCCTAATTATAATTACTTTAAAACTATATAAACAGCAGAATAGAACTAAGACAATGGGTATCTGGGACTTGGATGACTCTATTGATGCAAACCATTCACTCCCGAGTTTCAGAAGTGTCCATAAAACCTCGAAATGTTTATCAATTCTGAGTTTCATTTCTTGTAACTTCTCACCTGCCATCTGGTGTAAGAAGGAGAAACATGGATACAGTCAGGAAACAAGAAGAGGAGAGGGAGCTGGGTAGTATTGCAGTGGAATACATCACTCTGGATTTATAGAAATTTTATTTAGAGTGGCGGAGAGAAGGAAGGCTCTGTGTCTATTCTCTGATTCTACTCATTGCATAAATGTATGAATGCTCTTTGCAATACAATTTTGTCTGGGCATTAGTTACTCGGAAAAGCTTATACAAATTTAATAATAAACTTAGTTGACTAAAGGCTTGGAAAGAAGTAATAAAACCATGTCTCCTGAAGGCCAACTTACAGCAGCTTTGTTACTTTAAAGTGGTCTCTGGAATAGCCAGCAATGGCTGTGAAATGTAACTTTTTCACCCAAATGATTAGAAGCATGTAAAGAGGAGAAAGGGGTCACAAGCTTTTTGTTTGTTTGTTTTGTTGTAGGATATGCACCCGAGGGAAAAAAAAAAATGTTTTCCCTTTTTAATTTAGATGCACTTAGCCCAGGCCAACATCTCCAAGGTCTTCTCAGCAGAACTTAACACGGGAGATCTTAGAAAGATCATTTTTTCCCCCTCTTCTTTTTACTGAATTGATTCTTTTGCTGAAACACTTAATATTTTAGTCAATGAATGTTCAAAATGTTCAAGTCAAAAGAAGAGGGAAAGGAACTCCTCAGATTTGGGCTGGATGACCCCTGCCAAGTGACCCCTGCCCAGCCCCCCATCCCTGTTTTCCCCATGCCTCTGTGCACACTCCAAGACCCCGTGAAACAACTCCATCCGTGGGAGTAATTACATTAAAAAAGAACCTTTCATTTTTAAAAAAAACTAATTCAAGAGGAAAGATTAAAAACCACGAGGCCCTTGAAATCGTTCTGCGTCCATGTGGACACATCCTCAACCCAGGTTCTGCTTCTTTATGGGATGGACTGGCCCCAGGGAGCTCTTCAGTTAAGGTGAATGTCATTGCTTCTCAGCAGCCCAGCTTGATGGTGAGTTAAGGAGTCCATCGACTGATTTTATTTATCTTTTCACCATGAGAGACTTGATCCTCGTGATCACTGATTTTGCAGTCTGAGGAGTAGAAGGGAAAGGGGTAGATGGTTTTCTCCATCCCCGCATCTCCTGGCTCCCAGTCTCCACCCCGCCAGCTTCCACACTGTACTGTTGATCTCAGGACAACCTGGGAACTAGATTCCAACAGGACTCCGACTTTACCTAAGACGCATTATGGGAGTATGGTTCAAAGAGAATTGAGTCAATGTGTGACATTTATCTTGTTAGCAAACAGACAGCCCTGTTTTTAAACATTTCTCATTAGTATTATTTTTTTTCTCTGCATTTTAGAAAGAACTCTTAATTCAAAATAGGTGGGCTGACTTCTCATAGCAGGGAAAGAGTTTCTGTTGCCTAATGACTTAAATAAACAGATAATACGCTTTCCACCCTCACCCCCTCCCTGCTCCCTGCAAAGCCACAAAAATAAACTACATACCCTCCTGATTTCAGTTTTTAATTTTTTAAAAGCTGTTTCCCAAAACGTTGCAAAAAGAGCATATAAAGTTGATTCTAGAGTTCCAAAGAGCTCAAAGAGCTGTGCGCCAGAGAAGATGATCCCGTCTTGAGTAATTTGGACACCAGCATTGCTTTGACCTTCTTTAGGTCGAGGGAAGTCCAAACCATTGAAAAAAAAAAAAGTGTCTTTTAGGTCTGGCCTTATTCTTCTTTTTTGAACAGGATTTTGTTGTTGCCGAGTCATGGTGTATTTAATTCCTTAAGAGTCCACCACTCGGTAGCCTTTCCACCCCGCCACAGAGATGTGACACTGGAGCAGGAGGTTTCTTTCATGTGACCCTGCACCCCCAGCACATGCTACACTGCTTCTCTGAAAGGGGACACGATAGAGGGAAAATGATGTCTGTTTGCTATAAAGATAAATGTCACACATTGACTCAATTCTCTTTGAAGCTACTGTTCTGTGCAGCTAAGAATAAAATAAATGGTTTTTATTTTCAAGACAAAGTTTCTTGTAGAAGGCCAACAAGAGTCCCAGATGCCAAGCTCCTAGTTAAAAGAAATACCAGGGAGAGTTTCAGAGAGAGGGTCTCCAGAACACCCCATGGTCCTGAATGAAATTGATATATACTTAGACGCAACTTGGTCTCACACAGTAGAGAGCTGAAACTGTTTCCTGGGTCAATGCATAAGAGTGTTCCGGATTCTGTTTCCTTTCATATTTATGGGATGTTATTAAAATTATTGCAGGAGCATAGAAAGTTCAGAGCAGGAGATGACCTCTCCTGATATTTTCATCCACGCTTATTATAGCCTTAATCTGTGATTGATCACATATATGAACGTCAGGCAAATTCACTTTTTAACCAAGATTCAGAATTGTCACTAATCTCAGTGATATTCCCCTAAAGATTTAAACTTAGGCTGATTGTCAATATCAGACTTGTACCTTAGTTTTGTTGAATACTTGCTAGAGTATGCATTGATAATGGCAGCATGAATAACAGCAGGTACACCCATTGATATCCTTTGCTAACACGATTTTGCTTTTTGTTGACCTGAAATAGCATTTGAGATATACGCCCAAGAAATTTCACTAGAAGATGTATATTATTAGAAATAATATTATTTCTATTCACTATAATACCCATGTATATTATTAGAAATAATATTACTTATATCCTTAATAATATCCATGCATATTATTAGAGGGGAAGATAGGTTATCCTACACAGATGTGCACCAGTGGTGTTGAAAGTCTGAAGTGGAGATGGTAATGATGCATGGATTATGTACTTACAAGGTCAGCTGGCATCTTGAATTTCTGTGTGTGTGGCCAGGTCTGTATGCAGACTTGCAAATGCTCTTGACTTTCTGCAAATTGCCACATAACATTTACCCAGAGAAAGTTTGATTTCAGAGTCTATAGAACAATGACATTTGTTTAGAAAATACCTAAGCGACTAAAACTCTCCATGATTAACAATATTTTTTTAGTCCTATCAAAGTTTCTTTTTGTTGTTTTATGGACTTATATCTAGACAATAGGGTAGAACACCCAATTGGAAATGTAGAGATCGGCTCTAATCCTAGCCTTGCCACTAGGTCACTTGCAGAAAAATTTTAAACATACTACTGCAGTTTAGTTTCCTCATCTGTAAATTGGGCTGGTCTCCTCCTCCTCCTCCCCTTCCTCCTCCTCCTCCTTTTTTTTTTTTAAACATACCTTGCATTTAGTTACTGCTTATTTCCTAACCTAATTGTCTATTAACTCAAAACAAACTTTTTTTTTTTCCTATTTTTGAATTGAAAGTTCCCTATCAAACTTCCCACAAGGTCGCCTCTGCTTTGGGCAGAACTTGTCCATGGCGGATAGTTGAGCACGTATCATGTCCTCTATTAAAGGTGTAGTCACACTGTCCATTATTAACATCAGCTTTTCCGAGTTCATTTCTGGAGATGTCTGAGGTGTGAGTACAGGACCCCCCTGCTCACCGTCCATCCATTCAGGCCAGGTGTTGGCCTGCTGTGTGAGAGGCATCAGCCCAGGGGCTACACTGGTCCACTGGGACTTCCTGGCACCTCCTGCACCTCTCCCTTCCACTCCCAGCCTGGGCTTTACTTGGCCCCCTCAGCCCAGCCCTTTCCATGTGGTCTCATCACAGCCAACGACACTGACCAGGGGGAACCTGTGTCAGACCTGGCACTGTTAACGTTGCTGGAAATACAAAGGTAAGGTAAGGCCCTGCCCCAGCCACGGCCCTCTCCTCCTTCTTCCTCTGCCCTTCCATCTCTTCCATCTCTTTTATCTCTGCTGAGCTGAATTGGGCCATCAGGAGTTTGTCTAGGCTGAGTGAGACCCTCTCCTGGCAGCACAATGGACTCCCATTCCTTTATTACCATGGCGGGCCGGGCCTGGAGCTGCGTATTTTTTTATGTGCTGTCAGTTGTTTCAATTTGCATCTGTTCTGAGGATGAGTTTTCTGCTTTGGAGGGTACACCTAGAGTTTATAGTCATTGCTATCACTGCAACAATTGCCACTACCAAGAGCTTCCATTCACCATGTGACAGGCGTTTTATATACATCCATTATCTCTTTTATTCCAATAATATTATTGCCTATAAAGAGAACGGGTTTTATCCAAAGGAGCAAATTAGCAGCTCTCGCTCCCACTGGGTCTATTAGCATTTGGTGGAATTTAGTTTTGTTTGCACGGTTACTAACTAGTTAGTGATAGATTGGGAGAAGCTGTTTATCAGGCTGTTGTCAACTAGGTAAAATTATGAACATTTCAGTCCCATTGCTCCAAGAACGCATGGTTCATTGTGAGGAAGTGACCATATCTCCCTGAGCTCTAAATCAGAGTGAAAATTTATAGCTATCAGTTCCCTGAAAATAGTTTGGCCTAGGAAGTAGAACGCATTCCTGCTTCCTCCTGCTCCGAAGTAGTTAATATCAGGTACACATGGAGGATGTCCTACTAAAATGTGACATTTCCTCCTTGAATAAATAAAAATGTAAATGTTACTAGGGGAGATTACTGGCCAAATTTGAAAATCAGTCTTTGTCTTCTATTGACTTTTGCCATTTAGCTTCTATTTTCTTTCTATGCTGCCGTGATCAGTTAGACCTTCCAGTTATAGGAGTGTAACTATTTGGCCACATTTCTTGCATTTATTCTTATTGTGAGGATTCTAATTTTTCTCCCTGTCAACCCAAGGACACCATAATCTGTGCACAATTCATACATATTTTGATATTAATTAGGACTAAGGAAGCATAGCTCCAAAATGAAGTGGATTTATGTGAAATACTAATATGCAGGATTTAATGTAGTATACTCTATCATAACACTTGAAATATAAAGTTGTTGATTAGGGTGGTGGCTGGGAAGGTGTCCGAGAGACTAGGAAGCACATTGGTCGTATTAGGCAAGGCAAGGTGGTAGGGGAACGCACCATCTAGACATATTTTTTCTTCTAGTTCATGTCTTCTTATGCCTTTCCTCTGGTGTGCCATTCAATCTCTGACTAGTGGAGGACATCTCGTTTTTGTTTTGTTTGTTTTTTCCCTCTCCTAGGTAGTTCTGTAAAATTAGGCAGGCTAGGGTTAGTGGGAAATACTTCCTGAAGTTGGGGACCAGGAGCAGCCTGTTTGTATCTCCTTCTCTTTGATGTCCTTCCAACCCCAAACTGGCATCACGGTCATTCTTTTCCCTCTGTTGAAGGACAGTTTTCTTACCTAGGGTCCTGATGCAGGCCTTTCTCTCAGATCTGTTGTTCAGCCGGGAGGCTTGTGACCAAGATGTCAGGATCGAGAAATAAAAATGAAGGGAAGAAAAAGAAAAGCCTACGGGGCAGAAGACGGATGGGCACTGTCGACTGAGAGCAAGGATTGCTTACCCCAGGCCTGCACAAGCGCATTTTCCCCCAGTGAAAGGGCACCTCAGTCCCCACCCCACCCCATTCAAGCAAGGAAGTACCCGCAGGGGACACATTGCAAGGAGCCGGACCATACAGGCCTGAAGGGCACAGGTTTAGTCACAGGATTCTTCAAATTGCTCCGTTAAACTAACCAATGTCGCCTGTACCCATCTCGGTAAAACTGCATTTCTTGAATTCCATAACTTTATTCCAGAATCTTCCAGGCTCCGTCCACTTCAAGTGGTCCTTTGCATGTAGAGTAGAAAGTCAATTGACTCAATAAGTAAAGAGTGAGATTATCTTAAAGTATACACTTGGGATGTTTCCTTTTAAAATTTAGAAAGTGATGTGTGCATTTAAAAATTCAAACAGCACAGAAGGATAGAAAGAGAAAAATGCAGGTTTCCACCCCAAACTGCCCTTTCATCCACGATCCTACCGCAGTAACTGCCAAGGGGTTTCTTGGGTGCACTTCCAAAAAATGTTCATGCAAATTCGTGGATGTCATTTTTTGTTTCATTTATTCATGCTGATTTTTCTACTCCCTCTTTGTTATTTTCTTTCCCAAATATTTCAAAGCAAGTCCCAGATACCATGTCCGTTTGCTTGTAAATACTTTCGTATTTTTATATCTCCAAAAGATAAGGACTTGGAAAAAATAACCATCTTGCCACTGTCACACGGAACGGGATCTACGGTGGCTGCATGGTATTACAGAACTCCAGGCAGTAATCAAGATTTCCTTCACAATCTCAAAAATGTCTTTTCTTAACCATTGCTTTGTTTAAATGGGATCCAGATAAATCTCCTACCTTTCCTTTGTCTTATATATTATCCCTTAAGACTTTTTAAAGTCCATAATCCCTTCCCTTTTTAAAATGCCATTTACATATTGAAGAAATTGGGTCATTTCCCCTGAGGAATTCCCACATTCTGGATTGGGCTGATTCCCTGGGTGGGTTTAACTTACTATTATTTTTTTTTAATATGTATTTCTGGTAAACTGCTGATTAGAGGCTTAATTGATTTTTTTATAGGAATATTTCATTGATGGCCTATCAGGAGGCACACAGTGCCTGTCTCATTTCTAGTGATGCTGAATGTTGTTTGATCCACCCTTTATAATATTCCCTGTCAGCCCGGTGGGGTGGCATACACGGCTATCCCACAGGAGGCTAAGACAGGAGGACCGCAAGTTCAAGACCAGCCCGGGCAACATAGCATTCACTTACCATCTCAAAATAAAAAATGAAAAGGTCTGGGGATGTGGTTCAGTGGTTAAACACCCACTTCAACCCCCAGTTCCAAAAATAAATAAATAAATAAATAAATAAATTCCCTATTAATCTTTTACCCGATGGTTCCAGCAGCAATTGCTTTCTCTTTTTTTAGAGAATAAATATAGGCTCACCCTGGACATGTGGTTTTGTGTCTCGCTTTATGCTCTGACCCTAATATCTCGGACATGTTACCACATTAGATGTAGTTCATTAGATCAGTTCATTTTAAATGGCTTCGTGTAGTTTATTTTATTTTTTTAAAAAATGTTTCTCTGGTTTGGAAATATTTCGGATTCCCATGATTTTAGAAAGGAACACCGGAGCCTTCAGCTCTCCGTGCTGTCATTCCTGAGTCCCCCCGTCACGAGGTTAGTGTGGTGCTGTGTAGTGTGAGTTGATGGACCAGACGCTCAGCCATACAGTCGCAGCAGAGAGCCTCCCCATGGGGCTGGGGCGGAAGAGATGATCCGAACTTTGCTTGGAGGGGGGAGCTGGTGTGTTTGCTTTCTTGAAAAATGGAAACATTTGTGGTGGCCTAGTGTGGCTCTTCCCAAAGCAGACAGTGAGGCCCAGTCCAGAGCAAAGGAAGACGGCTCTCATTGTCAGTAGCCACCAGAGGGACAGAAATAAGAGGATGAAAAGCCCTGACCTCGGGGCCCCCTGATGGCTAAATTGGCAGCAGCATCTATCTGCACAAGCCACCGCTAAACAAGTCAGCAGTGGGGATCCTAAAATCTGTCTCCATTGGAGTTCAGCCTGTGAGGTTGATGATAGCTGTTTGGTTTTCAGAGGACCAGAGCGTTATTCTCTGTCCCATTGGATCTGTCTTTAGTTCTCACCCTTTCCCATATCGGGGAACTAGGAGGGGACTCAGGCTTGTTGATTTCCTTCAGGAAGCAAAAGCCCTGAATTCAGCCTTTGGTGATGGCAGAGGGGGCATGGAGGGCCCTGAGCCAGCAAGTCGTAGGCCTCGCAGGACCCCCCTAAGCGAGGGATGGCCCTCTCCCGGGAGACCCCTCAGTCGGGATGGTCAGAGTTGGGCCAGTGGAACCCAGGCAGAAGTGACTAGATGAACATGAAGCAAAGCAGTCACAAAACGTGCCCACGGGTAAAATCTGGGAATCATCAAAGGAAAAAAAAAAAAAAAAACCCTAGGTCATTTTTCGTGCTTTTCATGCAGCAGCACATGGGCATGGGTGCCAGGTTCGGTGTGCCTACTTGTTTTCCCTGACGTTCCTTTTCTCTCCTTCCTCCAAGCCTCAGAAGAGGAAAGCGGGAAGCCTTTCCAGTGTCCGATTTGTGGTTTGGTTATAAAAAGGAAGAGTTACTGGAAGCGGCACATGGTGATCCACACAGGTTTAAAAAGTCATCAGTGTCCGCTCTGCCCATTCCGGTGTGCTCGCAAGGACAATCTCAAATCCCACATGAAGGTAAGCCACCTGCGGTCGGACCCCAGAAAGAGGCAGGTGCAGCCAGGGTCCCTGCACACAGCCTAGTGCAGGAGGCTGCTGTGGCCGGAGACGGTGCTCAGCGTAGCAGGTAGAATTCAACACACATGAGGACCATTGAGAAGGGTCTCTTTACAACCCCAGTGCCAGTGCACTTTACAGCCAGGAGCTTAAGGCAGACTCTTCAGTAGGCAGATAATAAATGTAGCATAGAGCTGTCCTTTCTTATGGAGGAACAATGGCTTCACTGGGCCTTGCGTGGTGACGCATTTCTGGGGGTGTTGGGAGGAGGAACTGGGAAAAAGCAGGAAAGGTGGAGTCCAGGAAGAGCTACTGGGCCTGAGCACCAAAGACAGGGCTCCCGGGCCCGCCCGCCTCCTGGAGAGACCTGTGCAAACCCAGAAGAGCTCCCTTGTAGGTGTCCGGACACTGAAAGGCACCTGGATTTTTATCTTATTTTGCTAAGGGACCAATGCTGACAAGACTGAGTGGCCTCTGTGAGGCTGTCGGTGTAGGACATTATTTTCGATGTCCCAAACCACTGGAAAGCTCAAGTCTGTCATAAACACGTAGAGAATTGACTAGAATCTCTTATGCGACATGGGGGAAAACCTGGTCATGGAGAAATCTTCTTAGAAGACCTCTTTGATTCTACGTTTTGACTCAACTTCAAGCAAGAGCTTTTAAATTTGATTGATGTGAATTTCAGTCTTATTATGCAACTTTCCTGCCACGTGGCTTTAAGCAAGTTATTCCTTAGACTTTCAATTTTCTCATCTGTTCAATGGGAGCTATGGTGCTTGTCTGGAAGAGCTATCATCAGGATTAAAGGAGGTGATAGCGGCAAAATGTCTGACACAGAAACGGTCAGTGGCAGTTATTAAAATTAAATAAATGTTCAGTGGCAGTAACTTAATAACTGCCACTGAACATCTTAATAATGACAGTGATATTTCACTGATATTTTCAGTAGGGCTCAACTGTTGACATTATTTACAAGCCGTCTCCCTTCCTGAAATAAGCCCGGTGTATGTATGTAATTAAGATATTTGCTTATTTCGAAATCTTGTAGTCTGAGCCTTCGGAATAGATCAGTAATCCCTGTTCTGAACTGTAGCTCTTAAAAGAGTGTGATGGAACAAAACTTCTATTGACTTTAGGAAATAGCTTAGAAGATTAAAAAAAAAAACAATTAAATCCATGATGTGATTTGTTTTCTATCATTTGCCTTCTTCTCCTGGGAGTAGTGTGCCCTTCATCTTCAGAATTCACTTAACCAGGGGCTCTGGTGGGTTGGATTTTCCTGTGTTTACTTGGGTTATGGCTCTAACCCTCCTCATCCTCCATCACCTCTCCCCAAAGGAAAAGCCCATCTTTGAAACCTGCCAAATTGGATTTCATTAGCAAGATGAGACTTCAAAGGAACTGCCTTTGCAAAGAAAACTTGTTTTAGTTACTGCCTCCTTAGCTGTGTTTAGAAATCAGGCCCGGTGAATTTACAGCTTCAGTGAGCAGAAAACTTGCATCTAGCCTGACACCTTGTAAGCTTGGTTTCAGCTCAGGGTCACTTAAAACAACCTATTTATAAACCCAGGGGGGAAAAAAAGCTGGGTTTTCAATAGCAGGAACTACTGACCCTGAAACTACAGGGAGATGAGTTGGGTGCCTTGATGACACAGACTCGTGGCCATGACAGTGTTACAGATGAGAGCCGCCAGGGCTCTGCGGGTCGTGGGGTCTTGGAATGCTTTCAGAACAAATCAATAACCAGTACAATAAAGCAGTTGTGTGAAATTACTACTTTATTCAAACTCCTGGTGTCCTAACCTGTTGAGCTCTGACTTGAGCTTTTGATAAGGGAAGTGTGAGAAAGGGATCATGCAAGTTTAATTTCATCAAAGGTGTGCGTTTTTTCCAGCCTCGCCACCTCCCTTATGGGTCTTTATTTAGTTCTTATTTTTTTTAAGTCAAAGAAATCATGATTTTATTTTGATTAGACATACTTTAACATTGCCCAATTTTACAAATCTATAGTCTACACAGAAATGTAAAGGCTGTGGTCTTACGCATAGGTAGCCTCTGCTGCATTCTTCAGAGACTACAAATATGGATGTATGATGTATCTTCTAAAATGAATTTTGCTCTAAAAAGCGGGAACACCATAGTCAAAGATCAAGACCTCACACTGTGGGTTCAGGAAAGAAAAAAGTCTCACTTCGATGACTTAGGAGCTGCAAGAGTTTGGAAGACTCACTTAACCTCTTAAAACCTGTTTCCACTAATGGAGATAATAATCATACTGCCTCTCCCATGAGGTTGTTATGAGTTAAATGAGATAATACACAGAGAGCACTTAATACAGTACCCAGCCTGGAGAAGAGACCTTCAGAAAATGTAGCTAATAATCATTATCCCAAATCCGCCTGTGTGCATATTAATGTTTACATTTAGAAATAATGAATGAGATGGTATAAGAAATTGCTCCAGAATAAATTCTATTGCGTTTCTCTCTTGGTGACCTGTCTTCAGTAACGAGCATTTAGAAAAACTGAAAAAATAAGATGAAATTACCCATTCATCTCTTCACCCAGAAATAACCGTTATAATTCCCATGCATAATCTTCTATATTGATTATACAAATTTAATTAAGAAAAATGGAGTTCTGCTTTCTTTGTTTGATGAGATACAGTATTTACTACTAGGTGTGGGCCTACTAGGTGCCACTCTTTTTGGTAAGCCATCTTTCTTCCAGATCTATATTGTGCAAATGTTTTTAGGACCAACGGCAGCAGGGGCTTGTAAATGCCTCCAGCTTCCTCAGGGTTATCTTAGATTTCCATTAAGTCTTTTACAACTTCCCTGGATGAGTGAGCATACAGGAATTCAATGTGAAATTCATAAGCTAACACTGAGCAGAAAAGGCGAGAAGGATAGAGAACACTAATGAAGTAATGGCAGGAAGCTGGACCAGAGGCCGGGCGCTGCCCTCTGCCCCTCCTCGGTCTGCTGTGAGTCCCCAGGAAGACCCTCGCCTGCCTGGCCCAGCCCCCTCAGGGATGGACTGTACGTTTCCCAGAGTTTCTGTAAGCTCTGAAATATACCCCCCCCCCCCCCCCCGGCATCTGACTGCTACCAAGGGCTGGTTCTGATGACGTCTAGGAACTGTTGGTGGCCAGTGACCAGGGAGTGAGTGATTCTGGAGAGAATGGCATCCTTTAGATGAGCATTTCTTCACATTAGCAGACTAAGAGGGCCTTTCAAGCCAGCCGTAGGCTAAAGAGAATAAATGGTAATAGAAAAGTGCTCTTCTGTTGGAGAGAAGGCCACAGGAGGATACATGCTTCTCTCAAAGGCCACACGTGAGCTCTCGTCCCTTTGGGAAGGTGTAGCTCAAATAGAGTCATAAGTGCAAACGTCAGCCCCACACTGTTCCTCCTTCCCACTTGCACTGATTTTTCCACCACTAAACACAAGGCCAGGCTCTAGTGGAAAAGCCACGTGAACGACTGCACACAGATGCCTTTCAGCCAGGGCTTCCTTTCTGTCTTGGAACCTGGGCTCTTGTTCCGTCCTTTTCCTTCTTCCAGAAGCTGCTTCCGGAGCTTCTGTTGTTGGATTAGCTTCTGTGCTCTCTGGAGTCAGGAGATGTAAGGGCACCTCTGAAACGGAATCCGCCCCCCTGCATGGCCCTCACAGGGAGCCTTCCTCTGGGTGACCTTTATCACCTGGTTCCGGGCATGCCTTTGGCAGCACCTGTCAGGAGCCCCGGGGGGCGGTGCTGTGACCCAAGGCCCCCAGGGTGCCTGTCCCTGTAGGAATCTGGTGGAAGAACTGGTGGGGAATCTTCTGGATTCTGTGAGAAAGTAAATGAGAAATGAAATCCCATTGTTTAGAAAGAGAAAGCGGCGGTGTTAAGAGCCAGGGCGGTCGGTCAGGGTGTTTCCCCACCTCTGCCCTCTGCCTGGGCAGAGGGGAGCCTTTTGGCCGCAACTGAAGTTTTTATGGTTGTTTCTGTTGATAAACTCAGGCTTTGGGGGACCCAGAATCACTTCTGTTGTTTTTTTCAGAAAGCCACAGTGGGGTGCTGTAGCAACAGGATCTCACCATTAACTTTTAATTTCTTTGCTTTTGTTGGTCACTTAACATTATTTAAAAGTATGTTTTGGCTGGTGAAGAATGCTTTTGGATTGCATTCAGAAGGCATAAACAGCTGTAGTAAAACTTGGTCTCTTGGAAAGGAGACCCACACAGAGGGCCCAGGTGGTGCAGTGGGTTAAGGAACGTGCTTTTAACCTCAGTGCAGACCAAGGTTCAAGTCCCCCTCAGGTCACCCCTGAACGACACAGGGTCAGTTTTGTTTGGATTTTGAATTCCAGTCACTGACATTCTTGTTTGTCCAGATCCCACGATTCCCCAAATCATTTGGCCCAAATCTACACAATTGGCAGTTTCTACTCCAGGGAGGGCCAGTCCTGAAATAGCAGCGTGTAGCAGGTCAGCACTGAAGTGCATTGGCAGAGATGAATGGGGAAGTTACAAGCTTATGAGCACCTGCCAGCTCAAAGCCTGGCTCGGGCCAGTGCAATGATTTCCTCACTTTTTCAAGCACTAAATTTGGTAGTGACAGGAAGGAAGAAAAAGTTTCTCCCAGTTTTACAGGTATCGCGTGCACGCAAGACTGGAACTGCGTTTAAAAGTCTGCATTCTCTCACTGCGACAGCAGAATCTAGAGCGTGATATTATAACCACGTTTGGAAAAACCGTTTTCCTCTTGCTCAGAATGTTTGGTGAGGGTCGGACCTTGATTTTTCTCCTGCTTTCCTTTCTTCCTATGTAATTTTGCTCAAGCCACTTCTTCTGGGGGTCTCAATTTCCCTGTCTATGAAATGGGAATACCCTGGAGGTATCAATTCCCTACATGCTTCATTACCTAAGAGCAGTGTTTTGAAAATTGAGATTATGTTTGCAAAACATAGCTAATTCTCTGGGTGACCATAATTGGGTACATGCAAAGTATTATTGTGAGAAGAATAACTTGACAGGTTACCTCTTTTAACCCCTAACTAGTAATTATATAAGTTGACCTTGGGCTGGGTTTGTAATATTTTCTCGGAAGATAGCAACCGAGATCAGATGACTGAACTATCAGGCGGTTTCTGCCCGGCGCTGCGTCCATTGGCAGGCAGATCTGATAATGGACTCTTAACCTGGTGGACCTGCTTTGTGTTTGGGGATCGACCTCATTACCTGGAGCACTCATGAAGTGCTCCTCTGGTTGTCTTCTTCGGGGGGGGGGGGGGGGAGCTGTGCAGGGTGAGGAAGTCGTGGATGGGGAGTGTGGATGTACGGCGGGCACCCTCCCTGCATGCACAGCACCGAGCTCACTCTTCTTGCTTCTCCGTCAGGTTCACCAACACCAGGACCGGGGAGAGACCTTTCAGTGCCAGCTATGCCCTTTCACTTCCTCTCGCCACTTCAGCCTGAAACTCCACATGCGCTGCCACCAGCACTTCCTGAGGACAGAAGCCAAGGTGAAGGAGGAGACCTCAGACCCAGATGTCAAGGGATCTCCCCACCTCAGTGACAGTGGCTGCCTGGGGCAGCAAAGGGAAGGAGGAGGGACAGAGCTAGTGGGGACCGTGATGACGTCTAACACTCCAGAGAGGACTAGCCAGGGTGGGGCTGGCATCTCGCCTTTGCTGGTGAAGGAGGAACCCAAGGAAGATAACGGCCTGCCCGCCTCCTTTACCCTGAGTGCCGCCGACAGGCCCGCCAACCACACAAAGCTGAAAGACCCCTCCGAGTATGTGGCCAACAGTGCGGCAGCATTGTTCAGCCAGGACATCTCTGTTAAGATGGCGTCTGATTTTCTCATGAAGCTGTCAGGTACTTGACTAGGGTTGTGTTCTCTCTCCCTCTGTCTCTCTGTCTCGCTTTCTTTCTCTACCAGTATTTTCATCTGTAAAATAAGCTGGCAGGATCACAAGTCTCCCCGCAAGTCTGAGAGTCTGCACTTTCATAAATTTTCCTTGACTTACTTTCTCCCGCCCCCCTTTTTTTTTCTTTTTTTGGCAATCCTTTGGAGGTAGGCGTGGCTTTGGTTTGGGTCTCAGAACAACAGGGATCTTTGATTTCCTTCTGGTTTTTACCCTTTGGGGATTCTCACTCTGGGGGGGGGGAAAGGTCACAGGGTGAACCAAGTTTGTGCCCTTTGCTTTGTGCCACCTTGGGCCCCGATTTGACATATCTCTTTCTGCACTGGGTTCTTCAAAGTACTTGCATATGGAATACCTCATTTTGTATTACTCAAGTTCTTTACTGTCTTAATTTGAAAGGACACATTGACAGACCCCTATGAGGAATCACACTTCTGCAATTTGAGCAAACGAGAAAGATCATCTGTATGATTTTTCTTCAGGATTTTGTGGGTGGGTTATGTTTGTGTGTGTGTGTGTAAAGTTTTTTATTTTATTGGGGTGAAATTACATAAGATTTACCTTTTTAACCATTTTTTAGGTGTGCGGTTCGGTGGCGTTCAGTACCTTCATCTTCTGGTCTCTAGAACTTTATCTTTCCAAGCTGAAGTTCTGTATCCAATACACAATGAGTCCCCCTAAGTCCTCCCTCCAGCCCCTGGTAACCACGATTTTACTTTCATCTCTATGAATTTGAATCTTTCAGGTACTTCATATAAAGTAGAATTTTTAAAAAGTTTTTTTTTTAAACAACATTCTCTTCTTACCATTATGATCCCTTTTTAAAAGAAGATAATGTAAAAATCATGAAAATGTATTCTTATCAATTGATATCACTTTTCATTACCATCAAATTACACATGACTCTTTTTTGGTCATTTTTTCCCCATGTGTTTGATTTAGCAGCGAAGTTGAACAGGGGTGGAGAGATGTTAGATTTTTTTTTTCTCCCAACTCTTTTTTTGGGAATGATAAGACGTGTTGTGGGACCGTGCTGATCCTCATTACATTTTTAAAAAGTACAATTTGAAATTTTAAAGGAGTTGTAGAGGGTGGGGAAAGGTCGGTTGAGAATCGGTCCTGTCGTTCAGTGAAGGTGGCAGTCCCCAGGATGATTTCCAAATGCCATTTCAGCTCTTTGGAGATTGACAATACCCTTTAAATGGAGAATAATTGGTCACCGCCTTCCTTTAAGTGGACTGAGAGTCGCATTTCACTAAATGTCATTGCCAGGTGAATGAGAGGCTCAGCTTCACGCCAAAGTCCCTTTTCTCGGTGGCACTTCAGTCAGGTCTTTCAGAATGTCCCCTTAACCCCAGATCTTTGCCCCTCAGCAGTTGGAAGGCGTGAGGCGAGGCGGGGGGATAGAAAATGAGAATCCCAGAAATTAACGGGGTGGGGAGGGGAAGGGGGAGGGGCCGAGCTACAGGAACTAGTTGCATCTAATGGAGTCATTGATGCAGTTCGGGGTCTCCGCTCTTCTCACCTGGCCCTCTCCCTCTCCCATCCCAATCTCAGGGAAAATGTGATTATCTAGACTTTGAGATTTATATTTAAAATTCCTTGATAATGTGGGAAAACACGTGTTTCCAGTTTCCCCTTTGTCACCTGTAAGGGAACCTGGCTCTTCCTCCAAGGTCTCGTCTATGGTAGCAGAAGGGCCTCCTTTTCTGAACTTTTTTAGTACAGTCCTGAGGGAAGCAACTCCAAGGACAAATTCACTTAGCATAGCTTGGTGGTGGTCATTTCTCTACTTAACAGACAGAGGCACAGGAGGTGGGGAGAGGGCGAATAACTCTCAATGTGTGTTATTCCCTTCACCCCTTGACTCCAGGGAATTTTTTAAATCTAGAGGAAGATGAGGAGGGAGGCGGGAAGGTTTGATCTGTGGATGGAACCCTGTGCATGATAACGCAACTCCTGCTGGGCTCAGCTCCCAGTGCCCCCCATCAGGCATCGGGGTGTAATTAGCTCCAGTCTCAGGAAGCCTGAGAGAGGGTTGTGGCTGCCTGAGCCAGTACTGCAAATAGCAGAGACTGAGGGGAGAAGCAGCCAGTTGGAAGGTTGGGGTGAAGCACTGTGTCTTCTATTGTGATCTGCTGTTTCAGCCAGCTATTGATGGGGAGTTGTTTACAGTTTGGCAGTTGGAGTATTTACCTACTGATCAATTGGCATAAGAAAACAGATAACAAATGCACACTATTTATGCAAAAGGCCCATGCAGCTATTTTATGGTGGCTTACTAGAGGTCCTGAAACCTGACTTGTATGCACTGTTACCTAGCAACCTGTTATAAAGTCACCGGGGAGTGAGATGCATCAGTAATTTTTTGTGTGTGCATATTTGGATGTAAATGTAAACTTGGTGACTGTGGCAATGCGACCCACGGGAGGAGAAGATATGTTAAAAGGAAAAGGCTACATTTTCTTCAGGGATTTTTTTTTTTTAATTTCACTGTCTGGTTGGTTGGACCCTAGAATTGATATCGCTACTCCCCCTGAGGGGCTCTACCTGGCTCTATCTGGATATGATTCAGGGACCAAAAGGCCAAAATCCCAGGGAGCGAGGCTGAGTTTCTAGCTCTTCCTGTCCTCGGATGGAGTGAACAAGTACCGAGCCTCAGGCCCTGTCCCTTGGCATTATAACGGTGCCATTGTTCTTGCAGGGAATTTTCTCGCTGGGCTCTGTCCGTGCACCTGCTGATACCATAGGGTGCAGCTGTTTGTGGGCACTGAGTCTGGGAGTCTTTGTGCCAGCCAGATCGCTGTCTGCAAAACTGGAGCACAGTGACAAATTCAAGCGTGTAGACACCTACTTGTTTCCAAAAGAGAGAGAGAAAACACTTGATGCTTTCTTGCCTGGTTATTAAGGAGAGTCTTTCTTGCTCCTTCGATTAAAAATAAGCATAAAGATGTCTGAATGGAGCTCAGTGAGATTCAGAGTCGCTGGATGGAATGATGTTTTAAATGGGTTCTGCATCCTTCTACCCTCACCCCTGTGTGCAGATTTCAACTGTGAAATAAAAAGCCCTTCTCCCAACCATCGGCTGTTCTTCCCTCCGAGCTCACTGAACATTCCCTGCTCCTTTGAGCTGACTATTGCTCCCTAGAATCAGGCATCCTCGGCTCAGCATCACAGTTGATTAACGGAAAGTATGGGGTGACCCCTTCTGCTGGCTTCCTAGGTGGGTGGAAAGTGTTTTATAGACTTCAGTGGAATTTGGAACTGGGCAGTAGGCCTTAGAAGGCTAAGGTCCTACATGTCCAAATAGATCTTTTGTGGAAGCCAGAAGACACATGCAAATCACTGTGTGACAGAACAAATGATTCAGGGGCCACAGGCCTGGAGGTGATCTGGGGAGGGGTGCTCACAAACCATCGGGTGCTTAATTCCTGCTGAGCCTGTTCTTGTCTCCCATGGCCAGCAGCAGTTCTTAACCTCTGCTGCACGCTAGACTTACCTGGGGAGTTTTTGTAAAATGCCAGGGCCCAGAAATTATGATTTAATTGGTCTGAAATAAGCCCTAGACATTGGCATTTTCTTTACAATCTTCAAATGATTCTAACATGCGGCTAGGAGTGGGGACCGCTGACAGGGAGTATAAACTTGGTACCCGGTGCAGTATGTTCCAGCACAGCTATGGACTTTCTGAATATAGGTCTCTTCCCTGTGTTCCATCCCAATCCATGAAGAGGGACATGGGGATGTAAGATAGGCCTGAGGCATTTATTTCTTTAGAGGCCAAGGTTGGCATGAAGGAGAGACCTGGGGCTGAGTCATATTCATTGAGCCCCATGTTTTTCCTGGTGAGGCTCCATGACCGGGGACTGTCCAGTTTGAAAATCTCAAGTCTCTATCTGGGGACATCAAGGAGCTGGGAGTATCGTGATTAGAAGCCCAATTCAAAGTTGTCTGCAACGCCTAACATCATTTCTCTTTCTGCAAACGGCACTTTTCAAGATATAAAACTTAATTCTAACTCTCCAAATTATAACCAAGCAGTTGACAGAAACTTGGCACCTCTCTTGTTGGCAGGGAGTATCTTTTTGTCCCTGATTTTCCAAAATAAAAGATATAAGTCATTTCAACTATTTTTAATTTGGAAACCAGAGAAAATTTTTGTATCGTCTCCCACATCATATTAATTTCGTAAAATTGAGACCAAAATAATTTTAACTAGGAGAGATGGACTTTTTAAAGTGGTAACTTACTTTTAGCCTCATGGAGGTGGTTCACGAATAAATGGGTACAGGCTAAATTGTTTCTAATTTATTGGCAACTCAGCCATGAAATAGCAAAGGTTTTCATGTGTCAGTGAAGAGGTGATGATAAAAGTGTTTGGGTCATACCTTGGGGCTTCCCACAGGCTTTTGCTCTGCAGCCCCCAATCATTTCACACAGTTTTATACGTCTGCAGTCACAATATGGCTTATGTGTACATGGCAGTTCCCTGGCTGCAGAAGGAAGGTTGGGAGATGCCCACTGAACCAAGTGGTTCCCTCTGCATGGCGGCTCTGATTGGCTTTCTGTGAAGCATCTTAACAAACAAGCCTTCATCTTTGTGCCAATTACAGCCAGAACCCCAGTGCCAGTGCCCCCGGGCTCTCCCAGTGCCTGGGTGTGCACTCCACACTGGGTCTATTTTTGAACCCCCCCTTTGCATCTTGGTCTTGGCTCCTCTTTTTAGCCCTGTCTTGCTTTCCTCGTGATGGGCACTCGCCAATCATGTGACTCAAATTCCTCGTGGGAGCAGCTGCTTGGGGGGCCTTCTACATGCAAGTAGCCTGAATGCCCTTTGTGAAACCCTGGATTTTATTGAACTCAGTGATTCATAGGAGAGAAGGAGAGTGTGACTCCTGTTTCTCATGACTTGCTAGTCCATGAGACCGATTTGAGTCACAGAAGGGGGCA